CGGCGGGGGAAGCTCCCTGGACGCCTTGGGGTCGGCGACGCAGCCGTTGTGCACGTGGTTCCCGGAGAGTAGAGCCGCCTGCGGGAGAGCGGAGGGCCCGGCGAGTGAGCGGAGGGAGGCGCGGCTGGGCCCCGGGCGGTCGGCGGGCGCAGGCTGGCGGGCACGCACCTCCTCACTGTGGGCCATGCCCGGGCGCGCGGCCAGCGGCTCCCCGGGGCAGCGGCCCAGCTGGCGGTAGTAGTCCCCCGTGCTGGGTTGCTTGCTGACGGCGCGGAGCTTGCGGCCGGAGTCCTGCCTCCGCAGCCCGTCGTGGCCGCCTCGGGGGCCAAACTGCGAAAAGACAGCGAGTTGAATGGCCTTTGGGCCCCTCTGAAGCTCAGCCACCCCTAACCCCTCCCCAACCCTTCCTCTCCCAGACTCCGGCTGGCCCCGAGGGGCACAGCGCACCACGTTCCCAGGCCCCCTATTCTCCCAGCGAGGCCGGGGGCGAGGGTCCTAGGGCCTCGGTATCGGGACCGACCCAGCTGACTCTACAGGGAGAGGTTCTGGGCATGGGCCAAGGGGCATCGGTGCCCCTGGGAGGCTAGAAGGGGCGGGCTCAGGGGCGGGGTGGCCTGGCCCAGATGCAGGGGCAGCCCAAGAAGAGGCACCTGCTAGCCTGGGCTGGGTTGGCGCTAAGGCTTCAGCTGCACCCAACTCCGTCTGCTGGAGCCCCCGGGCGGCCCGAAGGCTCAAGCGGCCTCTCCTGCGGGTCCTGCCCTGAGGGAGCACCCCTCCCCATCCCCCAGCGTCCAGGCCCTGCTAGGCTCCCGCTTGCCTGGGCCCGACCGCCCAGCCCAGGGCTGGGGTTGCTCCTACCTGCCACTGTGCCGGTAGCCCCCGCTGTGCACCTGGCTGCGGGGGCGGCACAGATCCGACACCTGTGCTACCTGATCCCCGCTCTCAGGTTACAGCCCGGCCCGCGGCCGCCTGCGCTAGGCCATCCTACGGGCTTGGTCGGCCTGACATCACCCAAGGCCTGCCAATCCCAGGCTGCACGCCCCCAGCAGTGGGGGATGCCTCGGGCCCCAACTGCTCCGTCACACCTGTCCGCTGGACCCCGCCCGCCCCGCAGGCCAGATGTGGTCTCGCTCCGCCTCCCCCGTTGCCTTTGTCCATCAGGTGGGTGCTGCATACCCGCCCTTAACCTCCACTCCTCCCCTCCCCCGGCCTGACACTGAAGGCAGACCCGACTGCAGCCACCGAGCCCCCATCGTTGGCCCTGGGTCTAGCTCCGGGTCTCGCCCCTGCCCATCCCCTCCCGCATCTGGAAACCATCGCCATCCGTGTAAGCGACACCGACACCAGTGTCCCAGCCTCGGGTTTCAGGGGCAGCAAGTCGGGCTCAGGTGACAGTGCGGCGACCCGCCCTGTCACAGCAGTCCCCCCTGCTAAGCCCAGCTGGGGAGAGGAACGCTAGGCGGCGGGGCCAAGTGCTGAGTGACCTGTCAGGGGCTGTCCCTCTGCCCCACCCCAACCTGTGCGTCCCCGCTGTGGCCCCGACCCTCCCTCCGCACCCCACCCGCCCGAGCTCACGTTGCAGGAAACGCGACACCGCGAGATTTGTTTTCTGGGCCAGCCCGCCCCCAGCGCCCCCAGTAGCCCCAGAGGCTCGGGCGCCACGACCCTGGGCCCGCCTGCCTGCAGCCTGGGCACGGGCGGCGCAGGGGGCGCGGCGGGCACACAAAGAGCCTTTTGTGGAGCCACCCGGCGCCTGCGGCCCAGCACGCACACACCCGGAAGGGGCTGCCTGGCGCTCCGACTCAGGGTCGGGAGGGGGCACTGGCCAGGCCACCTGTCTCGTGGTTTTGGGCAGGGTGCACAAGCCAAGCCTTGAAAGTCCCGCCAGGGGCACTCCCCTGCTCGAGATGAAAGTGGAAACAGACCAGAGGATGGGGCTAGGGGAGGGTCCCTGTGGACTAGCCCTGTCCCCAGGGTCACACTAGTGTTAGGAGGTTCCCCAGTTCTGTTCTTGGGTATTTAGCTTTGGGCTTAAAAGGGAAAGGCAAGGCCAGGCTCAGCAGGGTCCTAAGGGCACCTACCCTGCCTTGGCCACCTCTGTGTGCTGCCTTGCTCCACCTCTGACCTGCCTGGCTGGCTCTTTGGCTGGTACCTGAGGGCCCTCCTGGGTCTCCCTCCCCAGGATTTCCGGCATGATCCACACCATCCCTCTGTTCCCTCTCCCATCCCAGCCTCCACGGGGCCATCAAGGCCCTGGTCCCTGGGCACCTCACCCTCTACACCCCCATTTTGGATTCAGTCCCTCTACCTTCTTACAGCCTGCTTCTTCTCCAGGGTTCCCATCAGGACTGGCCCTTCCTGCACCCAGGGCTTAAGCCCAAATTGGAAAGCCAGCATCAGTGGTACCCCCTCACCCAGCCCCCACTGCCAGTCTGTGCACCGTCTGGGCAGGACCACCTCCCTTTCCTCTACCCTCCACCCACATCGAGCTCCCCCTGCCATTCCCCACTAAGCCCAGGGTTGTGGGTGGGTGTGGTTCACGGAGGGCAGACATGTTTTCTGCCAGCTCTGAGACAGCCCTGCCACTTGGGGCTGGCAAGGCCCCAGCTCCTGGTGAGGCCCAGCTGGCTGGCTGGGCATATGTTCTTCCCTCAAGTCCAAGCCCCCACTGAGGACAGGGACTTGACCTTACTCATCACCTGTCTCAGTCCTGAGTCTGGTGAGGGGCAATGTCCCAGGGCCCTGGCGCCATACCCATGACCAAGGCCAGTTCCTGGGCCTCTGCTGCCCATTCTGCCAGTCCACGCCCAGTCCCAGCAGGGGGGGGGGCAGAGGGGCGGGAGGGGAAAGTGGAGGGGGGAGCTGAGGGCTCAGTACCTCTCTCTTGAGGGCTTCAGTCTCCACGTGGCGCAGTTTATTCTTGGTTTCCACATAGATGTCAGCGGCATGGACCCCCACGGGGGGCCTGGGAGCTGGGTAACCTGGCGGAGGTGGAGGTGGCGGAGGGAAGCTGGGTGGCGGTGGTGTGGGCTGCCTCATCTTGCCTGCAGGCAGGCCTAGCTCCGGGTTCAGCATGTCTATGTAGGTTTGGATGTCTGCAGCCCTGGTGCTGGGAAGCCCTGTGGGCAGAGGGACAGGATAGGGTGGGGGTGAGGTGGGCATAAGCGGGCAAAACCTGTCCCCTGGGGCCGAGTCTGTTCACTACCTGAAAACAACAGGACAAGGGGCCAGGTGGGCTCAAGGCGACTGCTGAGGTTAGCCCTGGGAGTGGGGCACCCTGCACTCGAGGGAAGCCCCAGCACCCAGGTCTCGGGGAGGCTTTGGCTCTAGGGTGTGCCTATGGGGCAGGGCCACCTGGAGGTGGGCGGGGCAGCCCCTGTGGGCAGCTCTGGCAGCACTGGTGACAAGGAGTAGGGATGGCCACACCCGACCTGGGCTGGGCATCCCCACCTGCTCTGCAGGTCGCCACCTGGTGGTAAGAAGTTGGCATTGCAGTGGACCGCCAGCCACGCCCAGGGTGTGGTCAGTGTGCCTGTGCGCCCACGTCTGGGCTTGAGCAGGAGCATCTGTGCGTTGTGTGAGTGTGTGCATGTGTGTGCATATGATACTTTGCATTTGCGAATGTGTTGGAGTTGGCATGTGTGGGATGGAGGGATGGAGGTAGGTGTGTGTATATATCCACCTGGCTCCATATGGGTGGGTATTAATTAGGTTCCCTAAAAAGCTTAGTTGAAATCCTTACCACTGTACTTGTGAGGGTGACCTTGTTTAGGGAAGCAGGCTTTTCTTTAAGGATCAGTTAAGTCATGACAAAGCAGGGTCAGGCCTCACCCTAATCCCTTCTGAGTGTTTCTGAAAGGGGGGCACGGAAACCATGTGACCACAAAGGCAGATGTGACCATGAGCACCAGGGATGGCCATCTGGCAGCCGCCGGGAGCTTGGACAGGGTCAGGGCCCCCAGAAAGAACCACATGGCCCAAAGCCTGACCTGGACCTCTGGCCTCCACAGCTGGGAGCTAGTAACTACCTGTTCTCTCAGGCCACCTGCTTTGGGGTCATTTGTGACAGCCCCAGGAGTTAAGGTACGGAGTGTGTGTCCCTGTGTATGCCCTTTGGGGGTGGGGTGGGGGGGCATGTGCAAGTGTGCATTCTCAACCGGGGGGAGTGGACTTGTGTGAAGTGGGCGTATGGGAAGTGAATACAAAATTGCATGTGGGGTGTGAGGCAGGGATATGTGTGGTTGTACATGTGTGTTTGTGATGGGCTCACACAAGCGTGAGTGTCCCCTCCTGGGCGTTTGAGGCATCAGGTGACCTGGACAGCTCTGAGGGTCATATGGGCAGTGAACCAGGGTTAGCCCACTGTGCCCCACCCCCCAACCAGTCCACTCACCACAGAAAGGGTGTCCACCCTTTGTGCTGGAGCCGCTGGAGGGACAGGAGTCATAGTTGGAGAGGGTACTGGTGGGCGAGCTGAGGTTGAAGTTCAGTGGCTGGACTGACGTGGTGGTATTGGGCGAGGACATGCCTGAGTCGGGCTGCTTTGGCTCCAGCTCAGCCGAGGGGTCCCGAGACAGCACTCGATGCTCCACACTCTGGGGTGGGGGTGAAGAGAGGAGAGCAGGGCATAAGGGCATCCCCCACCCACTGGAACAGACTCAGGTCTGTTCCTGCCATGTGAGCTCCAGTGTGTGTGGGGGGCAGTCTCTCCTTCAGCTGGTTCCCTCTCCTCAGCCCTGCAGGGGTCTCCAGCTTCTTCCCAGGTGAAGGTTAAGCCCAGCCCCCAGCCACAAGCCTACAGGATGCTGGGAACCCCCATCCCTGGCCCCTCCCTGTGCAGAGGTGGAGAGACTGGTAGGATGACTTGGGGTCCTGGGCTGGGCCCAGGGGGAGAAGTACCACTGGCCCCATCAACTCTTTCCTTTCCAAAGGACAGTGGGCCTTGGCTTGGGAGTATCTGTGAGGAGGGGCACCCACTGGCAGCACCTGGGGCTAGAAAAGAGGTACAGGGCCCCCCAAAACATGAAGGAGCCCAGAACCCTCTATTGGTAGCCCAGCGTCCCTTCCGTCTCCTTGATGGACTAGGGCAACCTCCCCAACCCAGCCCAGCTCCATCTCCTGATCGGGGCCCGGAGGAAAAAGTGGGTGATCTAGGGGCCTAGCTGACCCATGCCCACATCTAGGTTGCCAAGCCTGCCACCCCCCCCTCCCCAACATACACACAGGTGTCTGTGTCCCTACCTGCAGGCCTGTTCCTCCTCTCGGCGGGCGGGCTGGGCTGGGGGCCCTGCTTACATTGCCCATGGTGTTTCCACAGCTGGCCGGCAAGCCTGCTCTCTGATGCCTCCTGCCCAGGCCTGCTCCTCCTTGCCCTGAGCCCCCTCCCTGCCTGAGAAGTGTCACAGGCCCCTCGGGATGTGGAGGCAGGCCCGGCACCAGGTAACGGCTTGGCCGCCACGCTCATTGGCCCCGTAATTAGGGGCTCTGTGGGAGTGTTTGCCTTTTCTGGGCCAGCATCCTTCGTGGCTTGGCTCTATCACTCCTGCAGCTGGGCCTGCCTGGGTGGAGGGGGCTGGTGCTGCTCCTATACCCCATCCTCCGGCTGCCCCATGAACCAAGGCCCAGCTTGAGGGGCAGCCAGCTGAGGGCCTTTTCTTGGCTGAGAGTAATGCGCAGCTGGGACACTCAGCCCTGACCCCAGAGGCAGCAGGCAACAGAGGTTATGGGCATGGGCTCTGCAGGGTGAGGCATTGACTTTGAACTTCAACTCCACCATTTACTGTGGTGGTCTTGGGCAAGTCAGTTAGCCCTTCTGTGTTTCCATTTCTCCATCTGTTAATGGGTATAATGGGTAGTATATACCGCCGACCCCACTGGCTGATGTTTGTGAAGTACCAGGGCATAGCACCCAGTAAATGCTGTGTCCTTGATTAATTTCTTTATGGAGAATTCAGGAATACCAACAGAAGTCACTTCAGTGGGGGCTGTGGCCAGGGGCCTGGGACTCTGGGACCCCAGAGCCCTTCAAGAGAACAGGGGACAAGACTACCCCTCTGGTGCAGAAATGCCCTTCTTGGTACCCCTCCTGCTTGGAGACCCTGGTGAAAGGGCACTTGCTGTTTGCTGGGCTATCCACTCTCCTCAGGCAGACTTTTCTGGAGGGAAGTTCTTCCTTGGGTCTCACCACAGTCTCTCACCCTGGGGCCTGGCTGTGCTTTGACAGTCCCAGAACGGGGCCACGTGTTCACAGACAGGGCAAGGCCATCCTCTCATGGCCAGGCTGTTCCCAGAGCTGGCTAGTGGTTTATTTGAAGGCACCTGAGGGGCAGCCCGCCCCACCCCCCACAACATGATCAAAAGGGGCAAGCCCGGGAAAATGAGTAACACGCAGGTGTCCGGTAAGCAAACTACAGCTTCAAGACCCAGAGAAGTAGCCTTGGTCTGGTGCCCAGGGCCTGTCCAGATCCTGCACACGTGAACTGTGTGACCGGGCAAGGGACTTCACATCCCTGAGACTCAGCTTCCTCATCTGTGAAGTGGAGACCCAGGCACTGCCCACTTGATAGGGCGGCTACCCAGGGGTGGGCAGATGGGGGAGCCCATCAGGGGTCTGCTGAGGGAGCTGCGCTGCTGACCACGGTTGTCTGTGAGTGGCCTGAGGCGTTGCCGGCCTTAGCTCTAGTGTTGCAGGGTGCCACAGGGGTTCTTCTCCCCAGCCTCTCCCTCTCTGCAGAGGGTGGGCGCCCTGAGCTCTGGGTCCCGGGCAAGACACTCACTAGGGTATGACCACAGGCAAGGGGCTTCACCTGGCTGAATCTTTGATCCCTCCTAGGGAAAATGGGGCAAAGCCCCCTCCCAGTGGGGGGAAGTTAGCAGGTAGAGTGAAGTACCAGGTTCTCCACATTGCGCAGGTAGCCGGTGCAGTGGCTGTGGCCGTTGAAGTCGGAGAGGTCGGCGGCTGTGTACCCTTCTCGGTCTCGAACACTCAACTCTGCGCCGTTCACCACCAGGATCTGACAGCACTGTGGGGACCAGCAGTGAGAGCCTGAGAGCAGGGACACCCACCCACCCCCACACTGGACCCCACAAGACAGGGCAAGGCTGTGCCCGGCGCGTGGTGCCCAAAGAGGGCACCCGTGGGCCCGCCGTGCCGCTCCCCTGCCCCATTCTGACCTCCAGCTCCCCGTTCTCCGCAGCGTCGTGCAAAGGGGTCCCGCCCCACAGATCGCGGCAGATTTCACCGCCATGCAGCAGAAGCCAGCTGAGCACTTTGGTGTGGCCACGGCTCGCCGCGAAGTGCATGGCAGTCGCGCCGTCCTGGTCCGGCTCGGACAGGCTCACGTTGGTGCAGCTCACCTGGGAGGCCGTGGGAGCCGGGAGGGGCTGAGCGCCGCACCT